ACCAAATATGTTGGGTAAATGAAGCATTTTATACCAAATATGTTGGGTAAATGAAGCATTTTATACCAAATATGTTGGGTAGATGAGGCATACTATACCAAATATGTTGGGTAGATGAGGCATACTATACCAAATATGCTGGGGTAGATGAGGCATACTATACCAAATATTTGGGTAGATGAGGCATACTATACCAAATATGCTGGGTAGATGAGGCATACTATACCAAATATGTTGGGGTAGATGAGGAATACTATACCAAATATGCTGGGTAGATGAGGCATATTATACCAAATATGTTGGGTAGATGAGGCATACTATACCAAATATGTTGGGTAGATGAGGCATACTATACCAAATATGTTGGGTAGATGAGACATTTTATACCAAATATGCTGGGTAGATGAGGCATTTTATACCAAATATGTTGGGTAGATGAAGCATTTTATACCAAATATGTTGGGTAGATGAGGCATACTATACCAAATATGTTGGGTACATGAGGCATACTATACCAAATATGTTGGGTAGATGAGGCATTTTATACCAAATATGTTGGGTAAATGAAGCATTTTATACCAAATATGTTGGGTAAATGAAGCATTTTAAATCAAATATGTTGGGTAAATGAAGCATTTTATACCAAATATGTTGGGTAGATGAAGCATACTATACCAAATATGTTGGGTAGATGAGGCATTTTATACCAAATATGTTGGGTAAATGAAGCATTTTATACCAAATATGTTGGGTAAATGAAGCATTTTATACCAAATATGTTGGGTAGATGAGGCATACTATACCAAATATGTTGGGTAGATGAGGCATACTATACCAAATATGTTGGGTAGATGAGGCATACTATACCAAATATGTTGGGTAGATGAGGCATACTATACCAAATATGTTGGGTAGATGAGGCATACTATACCAAATATGTTGGGTAGATGAGGCATACTATACCAAATATGTTGGGTAGATGAGGCATACTATACCAAATATGTTGGGTAGATGAGGCATACTATACCAAATATGTTGGGTAGATGAGGCATACTATACCAAATATGT